GACCTCATTCTGGGGTTCTCTTCTCTGTGAAGGAGGGAATAGACCTGACATATCTACCATCCCCAGTGCCATGCACTGTTAAGGAGGGAAGGGAGGACGAGAAGAAGGTAGAAATAGAGAAGAGGAAGGGGAGGGGGGCAGAGAGGAGGAAGGAAGTACAGAAATGACGCCCTCTACTTGGTCTCAAACTTCCCGTGATACAGCTCTGCCTCTCAGCGGTATTGCGTCCATGACTGACTGTCCTGGTTGACCTGAGCTTCCCTCACAACGTTGTAAACTCTGTAGGAGAAGCAGAACGTATTATTCGGTTTATCCTCTCAGAGTTTAGCAGAGTGTCTGCCACCTACCCACTGGGCACTAAATGTTTCTTCAGTGTATTTATGATCCGTTAGCAATAGTGATTATCAGCAGGCTCTTTCTTCCAAAGGAAAATTGACAGGGCAAATGATAAGATGTATGTTTATTTCAGAAGACAGTACAAAGTAGAGTGTGATCATTTTATGTCAAATATAGGTCAGTGATGGCCAGCAGGCAGTGTGGAGGTTGAGGGTCCTCCCACATGGCTGACCACGGTTTGAGTTCTGGACCTGGCTACTTGCTTTCTCACTTTCTCTCTCTCTCTCTCTCTTTCTCTCTCTCTCTCTCTCTCTCCCTTTCTGGTCAAATTAAAATAAGTAAATAAAATTAAATTAAATAATTCTTTAAAAAATAGATCCGTTATTCTTAAATAAGAATGTCTCCAATTGTCATTTAAAAATACAATAACATTCTGCTTTAATTTTAAAATATGTACCGCATGCAATAAAATACTTATGTTAAAGAGTGGTTTGTGTAATAAAATCAATCCAAACCATAAATCTGAACTCGCTTTGCGCTAAAAATCCTATGCATTAATATTACGGAAACCAAATTTGGACATTTCACTGGTATTTTCCAGAGCGATTACAAAATTAGAAGTACATGCAATCTCTCCCAGTGTCACTACAGCAGTGTCTGAACACATGTATTTAAGAAATGAAACATCCCCATGGAAATTCACTTCATAAAATCAGCACCGTGGAATGACCCAAACTTTTCCAGATCCTTCTTCCAAATCCTCAGCAGCTGAGCTCATTCTGAATGAAACTGCATAAAAAGAATTACAAAAGAAATGGAATTGAAGAATCAGTAGTCCGCAGTTTGAAAGATGAAGTTTAATAAGGTAGCCTGGGGAAGATGCTCACAAGGAAAACCAGGTCTTCACCAAGATGGCTCTGGCTTCCAAGACAGACTCCAGGCAATTCAGAAGATTCAGAAAGAGGCTGAAATGATCAAATGCAATTGACAGTAATCTGGGGATCCCATTTAGGAATATTTTGTTCAGTTTTGAAATCACAGAAGCAGATTTAACTAATTTCAAATCAGAATTTAATTGAGTCTCTATAGAAAAGCTTGTGAAGATGAATTTTTTAAAAATCTCAAATGAATTGTTTTAAATGTATCAGATTAAAAGATGTGGAACAACACCTAAGCTGTAATTAATGATTTTCACAATTAAATTAGGAAGTTTTAAGTCTTGGGACTTTTAAGTCTTGGCATAATGGTTACATCACTGAACTCCCACGTAGTCAACTGCTGTTCAAGTCCCAGACCCAGCAACTTAAAACTCACACCGGGCACATGTGTGTCTGATTGCCCAAAATCCCGAGAGGAGAATGGAGGAGAAGGGATTACAGCATGGACAGGCCCTCTGGGGGGCGATTTTTCATTTTCTGTCTCTCTGGCAAGCGCACTCACTCTGTAGCAAAAATCTCTCTCAAAAAAGTTTTAAGTCTTAAAGATAAGACAGAGTATAGTCACAAGAGTCATTTGGAAATAGCCATAGAGCCTAGATTGGAAATGTAGACAAGACAGCTAATACTATGTTGACACTATCTCATTTATAATCTCTTTGCAATTATTGTCTTAGGACTTGTTGAACCCTCTTCCTTTGACTTGTTAGAAAGATGTACTTGTCTGGGGGCTGGCAGGTGGCATGGTGGTTAAGGGGTTAAGGGAGCTAGACACCCACATGGCCAACCACAGTTTGAGTCCCAGACCTGGTGGCTTGCTTTCTCACTTTCTCTCTCTCTCTCTCTCTCTCTCTCTTTTGCTCTGTCCTTCTGTGATCAAATTAAAACAAATAAATAATGTTAAATAAAATAATTTTTAAAATAAAAGAAATACCTACTTGTCAAAGTTGGGTAAAATGATTATTACAAAATTTTAAGGGCAAAATTTTCATGTAAACTTTTTTTTCAGTAAGTTAATAAAACTCTTCTCAGTAAAACATAAAAATAAAAAAAATTAGAACTCAGGTTCAGCTTAAATGCCGCTGTGGCTTAGGACTGACACAGTAATACCTCTCGGCATTTCTTAAGTTAGCCCGCTCTTTCTACACTGGATAAAAATAAAGAAAAGAAAGCATCTAAAACAGAACCACCCTATTACATCCCAAATTTGCCCATGAAAGCAGAAATGTTCTGGCCTGCATCTATGCGTTTTCCCATTTTCCATAGCCTCCCACACCATAATGACTTATGCATGGAATTCAGAGACTTTATATTTTCTTTTGAGTGCAAATTGAATGCCAACATGGAAAATGTGAATGCTGACCATTTCGTAAAGATGGCCACAGACCTCTGAGGGAACCGAGGAGTATCCAGAAGGATATTTGTCAGCCTAGAATACCAAAATTCTGGTACATTCCTTAACTCCACCAGTCTTTCACAGGGTGGGAATAGTTACCTCTTGGGCATGTGCTTAGTCAGAATAGCTTGAAATTTTTGATGGGGAGTTCAGAGTCCTTTTCAACAGACTAACACGACCCAAAGCCAGCACAGCAGTTAATCTTGTTTATGGCTGAAGTTTTTGCATGGAGTTAAAACTAAGCATCTGCTCTTCGAACAGGGTTTCTCCTTTGACTGTCTAGTAATTTGGGTTCATTGTGGCACAACACTTGGGTTAGTCATTTTTAAAACTGAGGTTGATTTTACATTGGTAAAATTTGTTTCCTTTAACTTCAAATTAAATAATTAAGGCAAAAGCAAAGCAATAGATGTCTGGAATGTGTTAATATTTTGACCTGATCTTATGCATGGTTCTCTTGCTTATTCAAAATTTTACTCTCAAATTCTAACAGCAATGTACAAACTGAACTTTTTAGAAGCCAAAAAGAATAAGACTCAATTTACAGAAAAATAGCCTCAATTTCTTTTTTTTATCATATTGACATCTTTCTGGTTCACTTGAATTCCTACATGAGGAATTTAGGGTTTATATGTATATATATGTATATGTGTATATATACTAGAGATAGGTGCGGGAAGAAGGATCAAGGTGGGCTCTCATAATCCCGTGGAAATAAAGAAGTTCATTGGCTCTCTGAGCCTGGGCCTTATAACCAGGACCTAGTTTGAATTTGACCTCAATTCTTAGATATATGACTTTGAACAAGGTATTCGTTTCTCTAAACTTCAACAATATTAGCTTGCTAGCTCGTAGTAGCAATGGTAAGAGTCATGTATAGATGTGTTTATTCTAAAGCATTGTAAATGATACGTTTCCTTTTCTTTTTTTTTTTTTTTGGAGAGGCTTTTGCTATAGGGCATGTGCGCTTGCCTGAAAGACAGAGACAGAAAGCGAGAAATCACCCCCCAGGGAGGATAGCCACTCCGCGATCCCTTCTCCTCGGTGCTCCTCTCGGGATCTTGGGCACGCACGCACATGCGCCCGGTGTGAGTTTGAACCACCGGGTCCGGGACTCAAACTGCGGTCAACTACGTGGGAGTCTAGCAACATAGCCATTACGCTAACTGCTGGGCCCATTGGTACACTTTCTTACCCATGGATTGTGTGTGAATGTGAGCTAAACTGGATCATTTCACTTTCGTGGTAGGTCTTTCACACACTGAAACATTACACATGCTGTCTCCATGCTTCAAGTTTTGCTTGAACAGTTCTGTGGTAGCTTTTGTTGCAATTCAAACCAAAAGCCCAATAGATTTTTAAAAACAGTTCATGTTCATGAAAACATACAAATTAGAACAACAGGTATCTTTTTAAATTCAGTATGATAATCCAAATATTTTTCATGAAGTTTTAAATGTTCAGTATTTATATCTTTACCCATCAATAGACAAGGTCAATTGCCTTTAAAAACATTGCTAATGAGGGGGCCAGCAGATGGCGTAGTGGGTCACATTGCTGGACACCCAGGACTCCTCATGGTTGACCGTGGTTCAAGTCTCGGACGCAGTAGCTTGAAACTCGTGCTGAGGTGTGCTTGTGTGTCTACGATCCCATGAGGAGGATGGAGGAGAAGGGATCGTGGCTTGGGCAAACCTCCCAGGGAGCGATTTCTCACTTTCTCTCTCACTGTCTCTCTGTCTCTCTCTGTCTCCCTGCTGAGCACATATGCCCGAAGACACAGAATCTCTCAAAAACATATTGCTACTGATTTTTGACCAGAAATATTAAGCAAAATGTTCTGCTTTTAGACTGTTTTTAAAGAAATAGCACTATTCAAATAGGCTATCAAACACAAATGTTATGTAATCTCTTACCTCGACTTTTATACCGCAGATTCAGTGCTCTCTTGTCAGAGAGATATTTTGACTTTAGGAATGTTTTCTTGACTATGTATTTTTCAAATATTTTAATAGGTGGTGAAACAGCAACACACGCTTCTCCCATCAGTGAATTCGAAATAAGACTTTGCCAAGGTCCATCTCCTTCAGCCGCATATGGAACGTAGCCCTCAGCCTGCTGCCCAACTAGGATGACATGTCTGCAGCCGTCAGGAAGAGAAGCTGGGAAGAGCATGTGAGCCGACGGCTGGGAGAGCCCTTCCCTTCTGACGATGCAAACCCAGCATGTCATCACGGACTACTAGCGGACAGCTTGCAGGCAAGTATGGAAAAGGATGAGGCTCTCAATGTGGACCGCAAGGAGAAGTGTGTCTCGCTGCCTGACTGCTGTCACGGGCCAGAGCCGGGAGACTTTCCTGGGAGGCCGATGGGTCACGTTTCCAAGGATGAAAATGACAGTCAGGAAGGTGAAGATCCGTTGTGTTCTCTGGAGGCCAGCACAGAGACACTGGTGCATGTTTCCGATGAAGACGTGGACTCCGATCTGTACCTGACAGTCGATAAACAGATTCTAACTCCCCACGGGCACCAAACATCAGGCCAGCACAACACTGCAGGAGCAGGCTCCTTCGTGAAGACTCTGCCCGTCCTGGGAAGTAACCAAGGTCCTTACAAATCCTGGGGAATGGCTGCTGATGCTGATTTTGCACTGCTAGACACAAGTGGAGAAAGCAAAGTTGGTGACGCTACGAGAAAAAGCCTGGAGCTTTGCGATGATGGAAGCTTACGTGAAATAAAAGGTGCTCCCGAAGGAAGTACATTTGGTTCTTTGCATGAGAAAGATAGTGTACCTGAGACGCAGTTGCTTAATTCTGCTGTGATTGCTCAGCAAAGAAGGAAACTGGACTTCCCCAAAGATGAGCCTGAAAGGAACACCTGCCGTGCAGCCCCGGCTGAGGTCGCCGCGGGCCCTCTTACAGAGGGAGGATGGCCATTATTAGAAGCAGATTTTGAAAGCTGCTTTCTGCAGCCTCCTTCCTGCTCTGGTGGAATGTTAGATGAAAATGGCCTGCAAAAGAGTGGTTTCTCAGAACATCAAAACAGAAGTCCTCCGGAGGTCAACACAGGAGATGGCATGCAGTGTTTACACGCGCAGGAACCTCCGGCCACCCAGGAACCCGCAGATAACCAAGTCAGACTCCGCAAAAGAAAGGTAGGACACACACACAGATTATCTGGCTTTCGGAAATGTTCAGATACCCTTGCTTTCATCACTTTTTACTTTGCTGGGATTCAAGAGTTACATAGATGTCTGTTTGGGCCTGCAATGCAGCTGCACCATTTAAAAACCATCCACTAGGCAAAACCTTCCAAATACGTGAAAATTAAAATGCAATCATCTAGACATTTTACTAGTAATATTTATAATGGGTTCTGAACAATCTGCTCTAGAACTGTGTGGATGACAAGACTGGCATCTCTTTTTCCAGTGATAATGAAATAGTCACCAGAGAGTTCATGCGAAACAGGTGGCGTGAAGACCTGTCATGAGCGGCCTCTGACTTTTAGAAAGTTATTGAATTTTGATATAGGCCATCTCTTTTGGGCTTGTTTGTTTTTCTCTTCATAAAGCATGTTTTATCACAATAAAAGTGGCACAGATCATACGCATAAGGGCAACCATACCCGTTCCCCATTCTCCAACACATGCTGTTTAAAGCCAAGGCCTCTGACTGCTAAGGATTTCCCTAACAAATTTCCAAGTGAGGCCAGACGGACTGGGATGGTGCTACGTAAATTAGTTAGTAAGCTCTTGACTAAAGCTTGTCTTAACTTTAGGATTTCCTCAAAATTCTTCTAGTAGTGTAGTGTTCAATAATCCTGATATCGGGAACCGGCAGTTAGTGTAATGGCTATGTCGCTGGACTCCCACATAGTCGACCCCGGTTCGCGTCCTGGACCCGGTGGCTTAAAACTCACTGGGCGTGTGTGCGTGTGTGCCCTAGATCCCGAGAGGAGAATGGAGGAGGAGGGATTGCGGCATGACCATCCCCTCTGGGGGGTGATTTCTCGCTTTCTGTCTCTCTGTCTCTCTCTGTCTGTCTGGCAAGCGCACGCGCCCTATAGCAAAAACCTCTCAAAAAAAAAAAAATCCTGATATCAATCCAAGTATAGTTTCTTCTCCTAAAAATCACACCTGACCATTGGAATGGAAGAAATTTCGGACTGGACACTTCTGTGCAACGATTGGAATATACTTCTTGGCCCTACTGCTGATACGATATTAATCCGTAACTGTAATGCTCCTAAACGCAAAGCAAACGTTCTTAGTTTTGTTCGGTTGGGGTTATCTAACTACAGTGAAAAGAAAAAAAAATTTCCAACTGTCTCTGTGGTGAGGAAATCTGGTTTTCATAAACGGTGGTCTTACTAACACCCTAGATCAGTCATGTGTCCTGAGTTGGTTTAAGGGAAATAAACTTGAACAACAAAAATCAGTGTGCTCAAACTCCATGCCCACTGTGCAGCGTTCTGGGCTGGTGGCAAACTCTCCCTTGCGTAAGTTGTATTGAAATTGTTAATGTTCCGTCAAGTTGTGATTGGGATGTTTAGGTCACTTTTTCAGAAATTTCTATGTATCCAATCAAACCTGTTGGAGAGAATGCAAAATGAGTAAGAAAGTATTAGCTGACCTATGACAGAGCTCCCTAAAATAAGACCACTCCTGCCCGAGTGCCGACAGAAATATTAAACATTCCAGGAGCATATGCTCACGGCTTGGACATTGATATCGACGCTGAGAATGCTGGGAAGCATTCTCTCCTAGTTGTATCCTGTGGTCAGCTGCATTCTGAGGGCTCTGATTCTATCTCATTTACAAGTTCCAACTGCAATATTCTATTTTAAGCATCCAGCCATTCTAAATCGCTGCAGCATTGTGGGGTGGAATGTTTACTTAGACTGGAGAGTCCATTAGGGATGACTTGAAGTAAACAAATTACATGCAAAATTTGAGGCTTGGAATTTATTCAAGAAATCAGGTTTCTTAGGGAGGCCTTTAGAACTATATATGTAGAGATTTTTGTTTTATTTGATATTGACTAAGCATTAAAATTCTTTCCAATTGGCAAGTAGTCACTTTAAAACTTGACCATAGGAAACAGGACCCACATTCATAAAAGATATGTAGAGACGTTACATTGTATTGCGTGTTACTGAAAGAAAGAACATAGCTTACATTTTCATCAGTAAAGATCTATGTATTATTATTTATCCATTATGTGCAATGTTCTGCAACCATAAAAATGCAGTGAGATCCACATGCAGTAACTTTGAAAGATGCTCATTGTATATGGGAAAAGATAGGCAGACCAGTAGGTAGAGCATACCAAACCTTACACCACAGAACAGAGACTTATCCACGGAAACTGATAGAGACAGTCAGAAATATAAACGTCTCTATATCACTGAGTAAGAACACATAAAATCTTAGCTAGCCAGGCACAAAAATGTTACCAGCAATTACTCTGAGTGCGCAGAACTAGGGTAGAAGGAGGAGGTTTTCACTTTTGACTCCGTACAGTTTTTATAAAAGCTAATAAAATTGTAAATGTAGAAAAGTGCAAAGTAAAATTATATTAGAAAAAATACTTCAAGTGTTTTGTGGACAGCATAGAGCAACCTTCATTTACATCATTGTTACAGTTTTTATTACCTTATTAAATGAAAGCAAATATTTATATACTTTTTTTTTTTCAAAATACCAAGAGTTCCAACCAACTACTTGATTCCTAAGACTAGTGCAACTCACTCAGAAGAGGCCAGCCTTTTGGAGGGCCACATGGGTCACATTTGCACCTCTGTAGGACAGTTGGTGACAAGTACCACAAAAGGTTTGCTTAATTGTCCATTTCTTTAGAGCTCTTTTTTTTTTTTTTTTTTTTTTTTTTGAGAGGTTTTCACTATAGGGCGCGTGCGCTCGCCAGACAGACAGAGAGAGACATAGAGACAGAAAGCGAGAAATCACCCCCCAGGGGGGATGGTCACGCCGCAATCCCTTCTCCTCCATTCTCCTCTCGGGATCTTGGGCACGCACGCACACGCGCCCGGCGTGAGATTTAAGCCACCGGGTCCGAGACGCGAACCGCGGTCTGCTACGTGGGAGTCCAGCGACATAGCCATTACGCTAACTGCTGGTTCCCTAGAGCTCTTTTTTCAGCCAAGGTGAGAGCTGTAGAGGAGAGCTTGGAAAAGTAAGATAAAACATAAGCTAATGTAATTTTAGCGAGAGCGCTTTAGTCAGCTCATTCTTCGATGGTCATGTGAGTGAACTCAATCCTTCAGGGAATTTAAGAACATGGATTTCTTTGGTCAAGATATAATCAAGGTTCTGAGATAGAACAGTTTAGGGGTGTGTTGTAATGGTGCTCTGGAGACAGCCTTGTATGTTAGCCATAAATCACCTTCTTTGACACCTGTGCATCATGGCAGGCATTAGTTGTTTTGCATGATGTATGTTTTCTATAAGATTCCTCACTATTGAGGATACCCACACACATGTTCCTAGGAGTTTCCATTGGAGGGCACAGCATTCGTAGAATATGTAAATATTTTAAACTAATAATTCTCCTAAATGTGAAGGCATATCCCATGGAATTGAAGCCATAATCCCAATGGAGGGTGGTGAGCAGATATCGAATGAGCCCGAAGGTGGTGTGTTGCTTGACCAGCACTCAGAGGGTCTGGCTGGTCCCTAGACTGAGGCAGCCGGTTACGAGCAAGACCAGGATTTGTTTTCCAGGTGGATTCGTACACCCCAGGCGCACAAAGGTGGCCCGTGACGCCAACGAGCGAGGAAGGCGAGGGGAGGATCAGGGCGGGAGACCCTGACTACCGTGTTTCTCCCTCCCTCATCAAAGAAAGGAAAAAACTCACATAAAACATTCTAAAAGACAGATTTCAAAGAAGTCCGGAGGAGGAAGACCGTCTAAGAAGTGGTCTCTTTGAACCAAATGAGATGTGAAGATGGAAAATATGTAGTGAAAGACTTGAGGTTAGACTTTTTTCTTAAAGAGCTAGCATATTTTCTCTTGATGGTGGTTTGCTAATTAAAGAGGCCAAAAGTCAATCTTCAGTAAAAACTGTTGAAATATTTCCCAAATGTTTGAATAACCATAATAATTACATGAATGAGTGAATACATGTGTCCTTGCTCACATAAGACAAGTAATGATCCATATTGGAAAGCAAAATAAATTCTAAAAGATATTGCAAAAATCATCTGAATTGTAAGATGCCTAACTCCACATTCCCAGAAAAATCCCACATTCCGGCAATAAACCAAACTAATTTTAGGATTATTTTATCACCCTGTACAAGTTGGGCTATAGATTCGGTTGCCGTCACAGAAAGCCAGGATATTCGTGGTGTAAGCCAGGCTCAGATGTTTTCTCACACACATAGCAGTGGCACATAAGGGTCCCGGGTCAGTACCTAGACACGACGTCTCCAGGATTCCAGGCCCCTTCCTCCATCTGCTCTACCATCGTGAACACTCATCCACATTCAAGCAAGTGGGAAGGGGGACCAGCAGTTAGCGTAATGGCTATGTCGCTGGACTCCCATGTAGCCGACCGCAGTTCAAGTCCTGGACCCAGCGGCTTAAACTCACGCCGGGCGTGTGTGCGTGCGTGCCCAAGATCCCGAGAGGAGAAAGGAGGAGGAGACATTGCGGCGTGGCCATCCTTCCGGGGGGTGATTTCTCGCTTTCTATCTCTCTGTCTCTCTCTGTCTGTCTGGCGAGTCCATGCGCCCTATAGCAAAAACCTCTCCAAAAAAAAAAAGAATCAAGCAAGTGGGAAGGGGAGAGGATGAGGCCAGCCTCACTCCTGGGGACAGGCAGGAACTGAGAGGGCTGCCCTTCTTTTTCTCTTACGTTTCATGGTGAGGACCTCATGGCATGGCCACACCTAGGGATGAGGGGACTGAGACTTGGAGTCTACGTGCTAGAGCAGCATGTACTGGCTAAAACTTCTATTAGTGAGGAAGAATCAGAAAATATTTATTGAGGGATACCTGTAACAAATCTGTAGATGAATAATGAAGGCCTAACAGGCATGCGTTCCAGGATATGATGGTATGTGAGAGGAATCCTCAGGCGGCACGGATGTCGTGTGATGTCTACGTACATACTCGCTCTGTCGTTTCACGGTC